GTGATCTGCGTGAAAAATCATAACCAGTGGTTAGAGACTTAAAATGACATGGCTCGAAATCATTTGCTATGGCGCAAGTACATTCATTTTCCGGTCTCCTTCAAATTTCAAGCTCCTAAATTCCTGAGGATTTTTCTCATTTCACTCATGTATATCTTCTTGAATCGTATGTTCGATGAGTTACCTTTTCTGTTACTGCTGATATCACTACTACTTCCACTACTTTCCATGACAATTCTCTCTTTTCATGATAACGGGTATGACAGTCTGAAATGTACGTATATACCAAGTTAGTTGAACGGTGCAATTGACTGGCTATTATACATACCTTGGTTTTCTAGTTGACAGATCCCATTCATGTTCCCTATGTAAGGGAGTTCCAAAAGCGAACGATAAAACACCACTACTACTCGGACCTAAATGCCCAAAGTATTTCTAGGTAGCCTAGGTATCATACGGGATATTGATAGAAACCCTATTGAAATGCACTAAATGTATGAAAATTGATTTTCACTTGTTAGTAATTATGACAATAAAAACTTGTGCATTTATATTCTTATCATCTATTCTTTCACTTTCCATAGGACCTACAAAATGAACTTGGGAAACCTCTTGTATTATTGCTAGGAATTATAGCTTTATTCACTGTTTTGATATTTACTGGTTTAATACTAGTATTAGGATTTTGGTACGCTGGATATTTTGAAAATGATGATGTTGGAGTGGAGCATGTCCCATCGACAAAAGCATCTCAGCAAACTGCTGATGATGACAAGAAATTGGGATCAATTAAGAAACCAAAGAATGAATAATAAAATATACTTACTATTTCTTAATGTATACATTTGATTGTACAAACATCTTTTGTTGCTTATCTTGTTTACTGATAAAGAAAAAAATATTTTTCTAAAGTATTATTGAAATACGTCTTGTTAATTGTGTTTTTGTTAAGCTATGGAAATAATTTTGGTTTTTACAATCTTGCTCTTGGTTTTGTTTACTGTTTAATATAGCTATTTTTTTCAAAACGTATCCGTATTCCGTTTTCGACTTATAAATATTTATTGACGATAGAAGCAATGTAAGAAATATATATATATATATATATTTATCAGTTAACTTCGCTATGATTTAACAGAGCACATTGAGAGGTCGATGATTTGTCCCTCACCTGCAAGTTCAGACCTCATTCTTACCTAATTCCGTTTAGGCAGCCAAGAGAAGTATCACACAATCCCTCATACAAACAGTATAAATTAAAACAACATATGTAAGCGAACAATATTTTTTTTCCAATTAGATCGTCATCAGGCTTTACTCTAATATATACATGAATATTTATATGAAAATTTTAAACCAATCAAAGCAATTTGAGTCAATCATCACAATGAAATAGATTATGTCATTACATATAATTGGCAAAAGTGCAAGTAGATAGTTGGAGGACAAGTGTACTGATAGTAGTAAGAACAATAAAATACGACAACAAAAGTTTTATCAATAACTCAACATTGTAAATAGGAGGTCAAACATGGATAAATAGACTTAAAATAATTATTATAAAACATTAAAACCGTTACGTAGTAAGAAGTGTATAAATAATTAGATAGGGAAGAATATACGCGGAAAAGGGTAGTAGTAAATTACAAATAAATACAGGATGTGAAAATAATACTAGTGATGACAAAAATAAAACTTTCTAAAATCGTTTAAGTTACATTCGACCAAGGAAAGGATATGGGTGTCTCGAATTCCTTCTGAACACGTAAATTGGAGTTGAATGTACGAATTCCTATGGCTTCTGCTATGTGTAGGAGACGGGGTCGAACTCCATGGGGAAGTGATGGAGGTATACGATAGGTCACTCGAAATGATTCAAATTTATCTACATTATAACCGCCATCAATAAGATATGCCAATATAGAACTGCGTATTGTTTTTAACTGACTCTTCATAAACAATGTTGGGAGGTGTTCGCTCATTTGTTGGTTAAGTTACCTGATTATACGCTCGATATAGCCATCTCCACAGGAGCAGCTGAATTTGTAAATGCACATTGAGGAGGCCGACTCAGGTAACTTATCATTTGTTTGAGTAGATATCAATCAATGGTTGACTACAGAATTGGCTGCCTAGAATGTCCTACTACTTTAATTAATCTATCATGCAGCATATCTCCAGCCACATCCCCGTTAAATTGTAGTTTAATAAATAAAGACTTCTTTCAAACAGTAGGAGTCTCCAACTCCTTTTTTGCATTATACACTTACTTTCTTATGAACGCGCTGGTTTAGCTGATTGTGGTCAGTAAGTTGTTGATAAATTCCAGCTCCTGATTCAAAGTATCCACAGAACAGATCATTTTCGTTTTGCTTGATAGACATCTAACCGAATTTCTTTTGTAACGGATAGGTTTGAAACTACAAAAGTGAGTATATTGACAAGCAGAGAGACTTTCTGTACATGCTTCTACTTAACGAGCCATCACTTCGCCTGCTTAGTGTGACGTTAAGGTAATTAAGCCTTTTGTCACACTTCTCTTCACCAGTGAAAGTGATTGCCAAGTGTAAATTGTTGAAATGTTTAATGAGTTTTTCTTTACTGGTGTTCAAATCTACAATAATGAGTTTGTCGTTGATTTAGCGGCAATATAGATCAAGCTTTTTCATAGTCTCATTAAGTGGTCCATATTATAGCTTTGCTAGGAAGAGATCAGCTAAATTTGGGCCTAGAGGTAAGGTATTTCGTGGACACTGTTGTGTCAAATTCGAAGCCTGCTGATTACTAGTATTTATTTCTGTCCCTAACATATTCTGTAAACCTTGAGCTTTCGTTTGATTTATGTTTGACTGTCATACTCTGATTCATTCCAAAATTACTGAACTTCAAACGTAACCGCCATACTCTATTTTTCTTACCCTTAACGGCTAGTTTTGACATAATTGTATATATCCAAATGCTTGTGCGTCATGGTCCTGCGAAGTATGTATTTATCCGTTTTTTTGCGTTATTGGAGTCAGGAACAAGTCGAAAAGTGTTTCAGTTGGTTAGCCTTTTCTCCCCTTCTCGGTTGCTAGCCTATCTGGTGACAGAACAACCTTTTCCCTCTACCAAAGCTATTTAGTGACGACTAAAATTACGTGCTACTAGTCTCAACGTTAACGAGGGGAGTCTATCGCGTCAGTGCCTTTGAAATAGATTGAGACAGATTTATTTCCCGTCAGTAATGGAACACAGATCGAGGACGTAACATATATCTTAAGAAAGCTCTCCAGTCTCAGCTAGTTGATAACATTAGGCTTTTCTGTACCTCTAAGACTTATTTCAAACAAACATTGCTATCTATGATGGCACGACTGTTTGTAACATTAAAATTTTGAGATCCATTATCTGACAATTGAACTCGATATACGATAAGGCTGGTGAACTGGAGTTAGGATAGTGTACGAATGTGTATTAATCAGTGAATAAAACAAGGTTCAGGATTTAGGGATGCATCAAGTGTATATATATATATACGCACAACCTACGACCTCCATTCATATTTTTCTTGTGGATCAAAACCAAGAATCCAGCTCTCGATACGACCAAATCGAAAAATTTAGAACTGCATGTATTGACGACATACCTAGAACTTATTCACAACACCGTTCATCTACACTACTTATAGGTTGATCAAAATAACGTATTTAAACAGGCAGTAGCAAGGCATTTTTCAACCACTTGTTTAAGTTCACAAAATCATTAGTTTTATATACCATCTGCGTATAAAACTTCCTAAAATTAGTGCTCCTCAACGAGCAGTTCTATTATATGTCAAATATTACAAATCTAGTAACCAGTTATGCTTTTGTAGCACTCTATACATGTTCTTCTTTGAACTACATTTTTCGGAGCAAATTCGGTTAAACAAGTCCAGGAAACATAAATAAGCGACTGATACACTTTACTTCCAAATTCATTCTCAATTTAAGTCAGCTACTAAGTGTTCATCATTATGTCGAATAAAATTTGAGGTGCCAACTATTAGCCTCATCAAAGCCAGAAATACCATATGATTTTAGAATTCAGCACTAACATACTTGTTACCAAATCAACCTTACGTTGTTTATTTACAATTATCTACAAGTCAAAGTAATAGCAAGGTGTTTTTCTGAAATATTAGCCGACTTTTGCCCGATTGTAGGGTATTAAGAAGCAACCAAAGTGATCTTCTTCTGCGTTTGTTCTAGCTTTTGCAAAACATCATCAGCAGGTAGAGTGGTTCGAACAGTGACTGTATTGTTTGTGACATTCGTTTCTACTTCCTTGATTGCATCTAAGTGTTTTAAGATGTAATTCTTATTAAACTTACCTCCAAGACTCGCTAAAACTCTTTTAGCAGCTTTAGCGCAGCATTCGCAACTCATTTCCATATTAAAAGTATATGTTCTGATCTCTTCTGCCATAACCCGAACTACCGCGTTTATTAGGTTAGATCACTAACAGATGTCTTGAAACACTAAAACACGTTTCAAACGAAACTACCTGTGATGATAAGAGATCTTTAGTATCACAAACTCAGTCCTCATTGACCTCACATTATTGGCAAGAATCAATCCAGTTTTCGCTATTACATTAAGACTTATAAACATTCCCGAAGAACAGCCTAATGGAAAGTGAGGCTTTCATTGATGGGAAACAAAATGAATGGTACTGTGGCCAGATTATATCGTCTGTCCGAGGGTCAGAATGTAACTACAGGAAAATCTCCTTCACTGAGGTTGGCTTTAGACTCGACGAGTTACCGAAACAATCCTCTTAACATCCAAGAGACTTTTGGTTAATCGACACACTATGGTCAATACGAGCAGCTGCGCCCAAAAAGACCTAACTGAGGCACCTCAGGGTTGTTACAGCACGAATATTGATCTCTCTAATTACATTAGATGTTGTGAGAGCCGACTTAGATTGGTGAGACAACAGCAGAGAGGTGAAAACAAGCACGCACGTGTCAGTTGACCTCTTTAGACAAAAACAATACAAGACGCGAATCTCACGTTCTCGCCAATTGAATACTAGCGTAAAACCCAATGCGGCAAGTCCCTACGGAACTAGCCCACTCGGTTTGAATAGCTTACCTAAAAATCCAACAACTTTTGTCGCAGCGGACGGGCTCGAGTTGATGGAACGAACTATCAAGTACCTCTAGAACAGTATTAGAGGACGGAGCATTAGGCTGGAAGAGCTCAGGAATATGTGATCCTCAAAAAATTGCACGTCAAAGGGTGAATACTCAGGTTCTTGCACACTTTTTATCATTGACAGTCGTCGCAACTTGGAATGCTCTCCCAGCCGAGGTAACCGCAGCCCCCTCAGTGGACAGCTTTAAGAAGAGACATGAAAATCACTTGCTTACATGCGGATTATCATCTCCCTCTTGGACAAGCTGTTCATGATGCATATCTTGTGACCTGCTAGTTGTTGCCATCTCCACAGATCACTCAATTAATCTATCTCGCCTATTCTCTCTGTTTCCTCTCCCTTGCTTACACTTCCGTCCTCTCTCACAATCTTCACCACCAATTATTTAACTAAATTATTCATTTCTTTAGTTAGTTCTGAAATCCTCTTCCTATTAGCATTAAAATTTTCTCCTGATTATTATCCACATTGCAACTAACTGATCTTCGGTCTGTTAACGTGATAGCTTCTGGTATCCAGAAACCCTACTGCCCTGAAACAAACGTTTTCATTCAAATCACGAGACATACTAACTCACAACCAACTGCCAACTGACTAGAATTAGACAGTCAAGTGGCTAGACCTTCATCCAATGAATACTAACGAACACCTGGAACCGTACCGAAAGAACAAGAATCGAGCACAAAGAAATCAATCGGTTTACACTAGCTCGTGAAAAAATATTGTATATTGGAAGTGCCTCTCTGACAGTACAAGAGGACTGATGGTTAAGCTGGAATATGTGATCTCAACTGGATCTGAAAATAATAATCCTATCTGAATGATGGCTACGCCCCGATATTGCAGATGACAAAGTTAGCTTGCAAGGCAAGACACTTCCAGTGCAATAGAGTACACAAAATCGGAGGCAGAGTGGTTATGTCTATGTATATCCATTTCGAAGACGTAATACCACACAATACACAACCAACTTATGAGGGAGATTGATGCTGATTTGTTTCAATGCTAATGGAATAAAATACATGATAGGAGTGATTTTCCGGCCCTGTCCGAGTACTTGAGCTCAGAAAGATAAGATTTTGAGACAATTTGCACTTATCACTCTTCGGGTTCGATCAAATTCTTTAAGCTGGAGGTTTCAACACTCCATCACTTTGTCTCAGCAGACAGTGTACAACCTTGCAGGTTGTTTATAAAGAAAACTTGGCACAGTCATTAAAAGTCCTGACTGACTGAGTATGTGTTACACCACTAGATGTATTAAGTATAAAAACCCCCAAACATGGGTAATCTCAGGCGGACTCCAACATTAGGATTATACTCTCTGAGTTATGGAAGAATCAGATCTCATGATGATATACGACATATTAAGTACGCCAAATCACCTCACCTTGAGCATATAATGGCTGCTAGCATCTAGATACGTTACTGTTATGAGTCAATGGCACTCACTCAAATCATGGGACACGTACTTTCATAAATAAGTTCATTTGATCAGAATAAGTTCATAGGGGGGTCTATAATACTATCCTGAAACCAACTAAGAACAAAAAGCAAATGCGAATAAATCAACCAGTTTATAGTAGCGCATAAAAATATATTGGATATTGTATATATTAGAACTCGATTGAAGCTCTGCGCTACCAACTTCTCATTCAGATTACCAGTTTATCCTAATCTTATACCTGTGTTATCCCCGATTTTTGTCAATTCCTTTGTGAATTAAAAGTAAATTTTCACTTAGTCGTTTGCTTTCCCCCAATAAATTCACATTTGCTCCTGACTCACCTAGCACTCAAGATACATTCAGGTTAAACTCAAACTTACTGATGCCTAAATTTACATACTATGTAACGGTTTAAATTCCAGGCTATCTGCTTGTATTTTCAATCCCCATGATTTCAGTCTGATGCTTACATGTTTACTGATCGTTGTTTATTTTATCCATACTAAATGTAAGTGCATTTTATGCGCTTGCTGTGTCTCCAGTTCAGTCAGTTTTTTTCTGTTTACCAGTCCTCCACTCATTTCACAGTGTATTTTCCCCCTGTATACTAGGTACCTGGTCGGACGCGAACTGTTACAACGTTGCACAAATGGGCCTACGAAATTTCCCCCCGTTGGTCGATATATACAGGGAATATATATTTCTGCTAATTAACTGACGTAAAAGGCAGAACTTACATTTCCCCACCATGTACTTTGCCGTCCCATATATTGACATGAATATCTTACATAACGTATAGTTTTTCTGCAGTTGATAATTTGTTAGACTAATACATACGGACTAATAAAGAATTCATTGAAATTGCTTGATTTGCTTTTAAATACTGACACCTATCACGAACAGATAACACTTGAAATCTGGTACGGGTGATGTATTTTGAATCAAATCATAATTACGACAGTTGGGTACTATGCAACTTCAAAAACGTTATTGTTCACTAAATTTTGTACTTGAAAGATGTTCTTTCTAAAACTGTTCATCAAACTAGGGGATAGAACACAACATCTTTTAACCGTCATCTACGGAATAAAACGTTGCTTCATCCATTGTGGTTTCATTAATGGGGTATAAGATCACTAACTTTTACATGACGGCTTGACCCTAAACCGAATTTATGAATATTTACATAGTTGTACTATCACCAACTTACTATTATTAATTTGAACTTCATTTTCGTATTCCTTGCGCATAATAAAGCGCTGAAGTAGCTTAATCGCCAATTAATTAAGTCTGTCCAATAATTACTCGCAATAATGGTTGCGATAGACTAAGGCGAACAGGACACTAAGGTTAAGCGAACTGGTATTTACTTTAGGTTACTCTGGTTTATTGGCAAATCAAGCGTTCGTATTTATTCTACGTTAATCTGTAACTTGACTGTGTTAAGCAGTTAAAATTCAGACATCTTAAAATTAATGCATACTTTTGATCTGTTCTAAGATACATGCTATCTTGCTAACATCATACATGTGCTATTTTTCTTTACTTGTCACTTAAACTTGTTTCCATCAATTAATACTTTCTGACTGCAAGAGGTGCGAAGTAAATATACAACGCTACTAAAATGACTACTCAGTTGTAAGAGGGCTTATGGAGAATAGTTTGATGGCAGGAAAATGCGACGTCATTCGTGAAATCTCACAGTCACTTTTTCAATAGACATGTTAATAACTGCAAACCCCTGACTTTGACTTTTCCACAATTGGTTTCTTGCCTGAAAAACCTTTAATCGACAAAAAATACATGTGTTTACTCTAATTAGATCCAAGATCTTTAGAAGAAGAATCGAACATTTTTTCTTGTGTAGGATTGTTAGGTTTAGTATAATGCTTAAAAACAAGCTTTTACCAACACCTGGTCTAAAAATGTAAATTTAAGTAGTAGATTACGTAAATCACTCATTTAGTAGATTTTTTTAGCTCTGTTGCGGTAGTTTCCGACAAAATATCATCATAGACCTAGTTGGCTTGCTTAAGACTTGTCAACCTACTCCGTTCACGAAACAAAAGAGACAATCAGGAATAGTAGTAGCTCACTTTGTATGTTAAGGTCAACAGAATTCACTGATCCTCATATAATATAGTTTAATAGTACAGATGTAAACATTTCGGAACTGTAAATCATATTTTCAAGGCATTTGTAAATACTTATAGTCTGTATTCATTTGACTATGAGTGAGAGGACGGCTTAGTGGTTGAAACACATTATTCGACAATCAGACAGTATTTTTTGAGTCTTGTTTCATCTACTTTTTAGCGTCTGTGTAATATTCCAATTCCTCACATATAAATTGTGTACTTCGAAACAAGTGCATAATTCTGAAGTTGATGAATTAATTCATTTAGCCATGAATTACATAGATCCTTGCTTATTTAAACCAGTGTAAACGTAGTTATTATGACCTAAAATACCCTGACAATTAAGATCTAATCGAAAAAACCACATGTAGTTATATTACAAAAATTGATGTTAAAAAAATAGTGCTTTTCGCCTAATTCTACTATCGCTATCACTCTTGGATTTGAACTGACAGTTACATCTCTGTGCTGACGTGGTATAGCAACCTGAACTGATGTACTTATGTACGAAGTTCCGCGCTGTATCTGTCTGTCTGCTTTTCGCCTAAAAAGAGAACTTTCCTAATGGATCTAAGCAAAATAAAACTTCATTGTGTGAAAAATTTCTGTCTAAACAAATATTTGCATTACGGGGTTGTGAAGATTGTTAAGTTACACATTTTTGAAACCATGAACCGATCAATGTTAGACCACCATTAGAAACCTGGAAGCACTGGACGGCCGTTTCATCCTGGTATGGGACTCCTCAGCAGTGCGCATCCACGACTCCTGCACCCCGCAGGATTCGAACCCAACTCCGTGAATTTGATCAAGTTAGACATTAACACCGTTAAATACCGGCTCAGTGGTCTATCGGTTAGTGCGTTCGCGCACAATACCGAAGGCCCTGGGTTCGAATCCTGCGGGGTGCAGGAGTCGTGGATGCGCACTGCTGAGGAGTCCCATACCAGGACTTGACGGCCGTCCAGTGCTTCCAGGTTTCTAATGGTGGTCTAACATTGATCGGTTCATGGTTTCATAAATGTGTAAACAAATATTGTCTACACATTTCTAAATATGTTAGTAGTAAATATAACTCACTATTGTTATTATTATTATAGGTAATCATGGACTGTAATACAGAAACCAAATCATCCATTGAATCAGAAAAACTTCATAAAACAAAAGAGAAAACCAACAGACAAACAGCTATTTGTGCTAATTTTGACAAATCAATTGTCTTATGGAGTCCAGGCGATATTGGCAGTATGATTTTACATGAAGGTTTTGATCTACATAAAATACCTAAGAATTACCTTACAAGAAAATCATACATTGAAAAACTTATCTATCATGCTGCAATGTCAGATTCAATGAAATCTCCTTTTGCTGGGTTTGTTACTATTATTATAATTTTCTATACTAATATGAATTTTATCTTTAGATTCAAAATAGCCAATGATTATTTAAAAGAACTAGGTCATATCGATGTGATCAGTGGAATCAAAGTAATTTATCCAATTTTATTGTTTATACTACTCTTTTTTTGCAGACATTCAAGTCATTTATTCGATCATTTTTCAAAAATAACAGTCGTACATCAACTATAATTCATAGAATAGGAAGAACATGGCTTATGAATGAATTCGATATTGATTCATTCTTGTTATCTGGAGGTGAATGTGTATGTTATGGTCATTAGTTCTTCTAAAATTTTTTTTAGCGTGAATGGTTATGGCTTCGTGAATTTCTAAAGAAGGAGGATTATCGTTTGTGTTCTCACTCGTTGTCACGTAATGTATTGATTTCACATGATCTTGAATCGAAATTTCTATATCATACGTAAGTGCCTAACTACATTGTTTTATCTGATATACTACTTTCATTTTTGTTCTTTCTTTGTTAGAGTTTTTCAATCACCTGAACTTGGCTTAAGAAGAATACGAATGTTGCAATCAAATGACAATAACTATTCTGAAAATGAAACTACTAAAGAAGTTGTTTGTATTGGTTCCGATCCAAATTCTGTTGAAATTGAACAGTCATCTATAGTAGATGCCACATTGACACCATCATCATTAGATGATGTAGTGAAAACTAACAACAATACAGGAAATAATAATAATAATAATAATGGAAATGGACAATTTTGGTCATCATGGGTTACAAATCCAGATCAATTTCTTCACACCGCTGAATGGCAATTAAAAGATCTCAGTTTTATTGTAGGCTCTGATATGCCCATATTCGGAACACCGAAACATCCTTGTATTAGTTTAAAATTAAGTCCATTACATGAATCAATTAATGTTTTGACTGGTATAGATGTATGGCTTGAAAATATTATCAATGAAGTCCCTGAAGTGGCTATGTGTTATCATCATGAAGGTATTGTGATGCAAGAGTATGAAATTTATAAAACATGTGAAATTCCATCGATTGTTGGATTTGAAACTGAACAAATTGATCAAATTATACGTAATTTAATTATGTTTTTAAAACGAAATGCAACACAAGAAGGTCATACATATTGGCTTGTGAAAGAACCTGGACTAGGCGTTGTTAAACTATACGATTTGACAACTTTAGGTTATAAAGAATTTTTAAATAAATGTTCAGAAGAACCTAATGGTCGAGAAGCTTACATGAAAGGTAAGATAATCTGGTTTATTATAATCTTTCCGTTCATGCTTGAACGACTAGCGTTCTGCCGTATGTATACGATTGTTTTTTTGAAATGTTTACATAGTCTGTTCAGTAAACGTACAGAATGAGGTTATGAAAGAGAACCTTACTTCACAAAATTCATGCTGCATTAATTTGATCCTCTATAAAACACTCATTTACAGCAATACATTTGTCGTATCTCTAATTTCATTGTTCAAAATATCCCTAGTTGTCAGTAAAGTTCGACTGCTTGGATGTTGTTTCATGCTTAGTACGGGTGAGTTTTCAAAAACATTTATTCAACCGTTATTTGGATAGTTAAGCAGCGATTAGAAAACATTAAGTACCGGACATTTCCAGTATTTTCTTCAACACGGGAGGTCAGCGGTTGTGTGAGGCTAGTGTCGTCTTGTATTCTTTATTTCATTTAATGAATGGCCTGATCCACTCGTAGTTGCTTTTCAATACACTATCACCCTGAACAGTCCTCCAATTTCCTCGAATCGTTTACATTAGCAGTGTAGGGTGTTAAAGGGAAATGAGAAGAGTGAGACGTGAAGATGAGAGAGATGTTAGGGGGTATAGGAAGGATTCAATTGTAACCGATTTGGTCTCGTGTGCCGTTACGGGTATGACGGTAGATGTCACTTCCCGGCTGCGTACACCGTGGAAGGGTGTTGCTTGAATAATCTGAAAAGGAAGGTACATTAGTGTTGGTCTTGGAGACCTGGTAGCGTGACCGCAGAGCCCAAGGGACAAATAATTGAGGCCGGTCACGTACGGCCTTATGAGAAGTTTTTGAAATATTAGCCCCTCTCTTGTTTTAAAGGCCTTACCGCCAGAGACGGAAATCCGTGAGGTGTGACATTTTTAGAGTCGACCTTTTCGAACCCGGGACCTTCGGTATTGTGCGCGAACGTCTAACCTCTGGACCACTGGGACGGCATCCAACGGTGTTAATGTTCCAATCCTGCGAGGTGCAGGAGTCGTGGATGCTGATGAGTTCCACACCAGGACGGAACGGCCGTCCAGTGCTCTCAGGTTTCTAATAGTGGTCTAACAATGATTGTTTGATGATTTCAAATGTGTAAAAACACAAATCTCCAAAACTCTAACTGAAAATATCATATTCACTTGTTAAAAAATATTGCAAATGGTTGTAAGTACAGCATATAAAAACCAAATAGCTTTTACCAATGTTTCTATACTCAACCCTATCACAGATACACTAATGAAATGAACTGTTCCGTTCTACCCTCTTATTGGTTAATTTCTAGTTCACATACTATATAATCGACCTACGATCATCAGATAGAACATCGTTGTGTTACTGAAGTTACAAATAGAATGCAACTTTGATAAATAAAAACATTGAAGATTAATTAGTGTTCTGGTTTTTAGTTTAACATCAGAATTGTACATTTTATCCTAAAACTTAACCACAGTTTCTAGAAGCTATATTCATCAAACTATACTATTTTTAATTATAGTATGTTATTTAGTCACACCTCGAAATATTGTTTTGAAATATTAGCTTCTATGAATCATGCATGATTTATGAATCTCATCCTAGTCGCTTCTAAATTGTGCATTATTTGGCTATGTTGCAACTAGGCGATCAATCTAAGAGGAGCTAGTCGGTTTATGACATAGTACTATGGCACAAAAGAAAGCTCCTTTATGGAAGTTGTGTAATTGCCGCTCCATCATAATACCTCACTTGTGGTCCTAGAAATAATAAAACTCTATTAACTTCAGATGTTATCAGTCCATAACTCAAAATAAAAGCCATGTAAGATATTCTCTCCTGGTCTTCTGTTGCATTGCTCATAAAAGAAAGAGCAACTCTCTTGACTGACAGAGTTTCCTATTGGTTACATTTTTAACTGATCTGTATCTCTTATCATATACTTCTCTTGATCAGTTATTTTTTGTTACACTCTCTTCTATTTTATTTCTTTTATTGTTTTGGTTTATATGGTTTTTAGTACCCAATTGTATGACAATTTCTATTTGTTAAATAAGACGGAATAAAACTGACTGTGCTTATGAATAAACAGCTGTATCATGGTCAACCAACATGCCTGCTGCACATGCACATCGCTGCGTTGATATACAGCGCAAGGATACTCACTGTTGCCGCCAGTACTGACCCCTGCCCCTTTCGGGTACATACATGTTGTCCGGTTTGGTCTGCAGACACATCGGACATCCAAAAAGCACGCACACGAGCAGTGGCCCCTGCACGGGCACTTATGAATCAAGAAATCCCACCAACCAAACCACAGCCCACAATCCCCAATCGGCGAGGGCGTCAAGGCGGGCTTATCCTTCCGGACAAGGCATCCCGTAGCAGGTTACCGAGCCACCCAAGCAGTGCACTAACCAGCAGCCATTCCAACCGTCTGGCCTCCCACTGCCTTGCGTTGATACAATCGATCGAGGCCCGTCTATCTATTCGTTTACTCTCTTACACACTAAGCGCTGTATAATTTTACAAAATTAACATCTACTCTACCAATAAACGTTATGTTGAACTTGTAAATTCACTTCTTTTTTTTCGCTTACTTTTTTCTACTGATTTCTTTTTTCTCTCCAGACAATAATCCATTCATCTTACCTGTTGCATCATTATGCTATAAATTAGCTGAAATTCGTGTTAAAGAATACATAAATTATCGTGAAACACAAATTTTCGCAACTTCCTCATCATCATCATCAACATCATCACGACGACAACAATATTCCACGGATAATTATGATTTTAATGAAACTACTACAGTGATGGATGCTTTACGTTTATTAAAAAATTGTTTAAATTTAATATCAGTTCATGAAAATATTTTCAATGTATCAGATCTATCAAATTTATCTTTTAATGCATCATCACCTGGTATACAAGATTTAAAATATCGTGCAGTATTATTATTATGTCGATTGTATTTAATTACACCTACACATGTGATTATGACATGTTTTAAAGAATTACAAGGATTAGTTTGTTCAAGTAAAGAAGTAAGTAAGCTCATGTTTGACGATGTGGCTGAAGGTCTACTTCTGAATTTTTAGAAGTGTAGACCTTTTACCAGGAGGCTCGCTTATTGACTTAGAATATGCCGATGATATAGTCCTACTTGGTGAAGATGCTGACAAAATGCAGAGTCTTCTGACCACCCTAAGCAACAATGCAAGCATGTTCGGGATGCGGTTTTCCTCCTCGAAATGCAAAATGTTGCTTGAAGACTGGGTTGCATCGGCACCTGAACTAGTGATAGAGAGTGAAGTAGTCGAACGTGTAGACCGCTTCACTTATCTCAGGAGTCTCATCAGTGCTGATGGCCTGGTGACTGACGAAATCTCAGCACGGATACAGAAAGCTAGATTGGCTTTTGCCAAGTTGCTTCACTTATGGCGTAGGCGAGATATCCGTTTGCTGACTAAAGGACGAGTGTACTGTGCAGTGGTTCGCTCCGTCTTACTTTATGGCTGTGAAACATGGCCAGTGAGAGTAGAAGATATTCGTAGGTTACTGGTTTTAGATCATAGGTGTCTTCGAAGCATTCCTCGTGTGTCATGGGACAACCAAGTGAGCAACGCTGTTATTAGAAAACAGGTGCTAGGTAAGAATGGCAGATCAATAGATGAAGTAATGAAACTTCATCGGTTGAGGAGGTTGGGACACGTGTTGCGTATGTCTAACCACTGACTGCCTCGACAAGCTTTATTTCGTTGTGTAGGAGTAGGTTGGAAGTAAGTTAGGGGCGGCCAGACCAAAACATGGCAGAAATCCATGAAGTTATTGACAAGTGGATTGAGTCATGTCGGTAATTGTCGACTACCTTTTTGGGGTCCTCTGGATGATAATAATCAATGGTTAGAGGCCCTGAATGACATGGCTGAAAACCGTTTGCAATGGCGCCAGTGCATTTATTTTTTGTGTTCTCTCAAATCCTAATCTTCTGGATTCTTCAACCCCTCTAGTTTTGACTTTCTAAACTTTTCTCACTGAATCATACTTTTTGAACAATATCTAGTCCTAACCTCTCCGATTGCTTCTAATACCTTTACTACCTCTACTACTATTGGATTTGAATTGACAATTATTATCTCTGTGCTGATGTGGTATGGCAACATGAACTGATGTACTTACGTACGAAGTTCTACGTTGCATCTGATGTGGCTGAAGAGAGTTGTTCAGGGATGTTGTTTTTTTTTAATGAAAATGGACAAGTATTTTGAGATGCGAGAAGGTAAATACATCTGATGTCGATATGTGTACTAACTGTACAGAGTAGATATCAACATCTGACAAGATGTTTGAGTATAATTCAGTTAGTTACAACGTAGAACTTCATATGTACGTACATCAGTTCAAGTTGCCATACAACATTAGCACAGACGCAATTGTCAATTCAAATCCTATAGTAATAGAGATAGTAGAGGCATTAGCGGTAATGGAGAAGGTATGATTCGAGAGGTATAATTAAATGAGATAACTGTAGTAAGAGAAAGATCGAGATGATGAGGAATCCAGAAGATTATAATTTGACAGAAGACAAAGAATGGACGTGTTGTGTCACTCGCTTGAACAATTCCCAGCTAATTCCTATTGCTTAGTATTCTCTGACCACGATACACTGGACAAGTTCCGAAGAATCAAAAACACGGTGGAACAGGAAAAAATTATATTCCAAATAACAAAGTTAAATAGAAATAAGAAGCCGAAGGCGATGGCAAAATAGATACAACTTTAGTTTCTTTATAGTTTTTTACATGAGAAACTTCTGGATTGTAATTCATGTGATCAACTCGATTAGATTTAGCCAATCAGCGTGCAGCCAACAACACGAGAATTTTCTACCCTGTTCTCCACGAATCGATCAGGCGCTGATTGGATATGAAATTAGCCAATCAGCGCGCAGCAACGTAGTCATGCTTTTATTCCATGTCCCACTTACAGGACGCGCCTGCGCCATTGCATACGATTTTGAACTATGTCATTCAAAATCTCTCACCATCGATTACGGGTGTCTGGCCGACCCCAACCAACATGATTCAGTCCAGTTGTCAGTGACTTCATGGATTTGTGCTGTTTTGGTTTGGTCACTCCTAGTTGTTTTCTTCCAACCTACTCCCACACCACAAAACATCGCTCGTCGAGACAGTCCGTGGTCAGGCATACGTAACACATATCCCAACCACCTCAACTGATGAAGTTTCAATGCTTTATGTATTGATTTGCCATCCCTACCCAGTACTCATTTCCTAACGACAGTATTGCTTACTCGACTGTCCTAGGATTCACGAACAATACTTCGGAGACACCGATGATTGAAGACAAGCAATCTACCTATGTCATCTACTCTCACCGGCCATGTTTCATTCATTCATTCATTCATGTATAATCATTATTGTACTGAGTAGGATATCATTTCATCTTTTTTGGCATGTTTTATACTCATAAATATCATTTTTGTTCGATATATATATATATATATATATATATATATGTATGTTTTTTTTTCTTGTTTCTTCTTATATACAGACTGTTAGTGTAAATATTGAACAATTTGGAAAATATATGAATTCCACAGAATTGAATACATTTGAAAATGAACAACAAACTACTGATTCAACATTAGTTTCAATTCATTCAAATCGTAATTATTTAGGTTCAATGATTATTGATGCTCTGAGAAAATCCAATACATCACAACTTTCTGAATTAGCTATATCAGTAAGTATTAGTAGTATGGTTATTTTTATTACATGAATCATTCTTATAAATTTCTTCTTTTCTTACTTTAATGCAATGATTGGTTGATACATTATCTTAAGACAGGTGAACAACATTTGAATATAGTCTTTGTTATGTATGTATGAATAGATGTCACAAGTTCGAACCCATCATGTACTTCGATTTACCAATCTAGATGGCATGATTAATGTTCACGTCTAGAGTATCTGTTGGGGACGTTAGCTACCCCGGGACTTACTTGATTAAGGTCCTAATTTTAGATTTTGGTTTTTTTGCGCATAGGTTGCTCAGTTAACCTTCAGATTACATTTCCCACTCGGAAAATCTTTGACTGTCATTGACTGAAGTGTTATTTTAGTACACTATTTTTATGGCTCTCCTAAGAACGCTTCTATGATTTATAAATAAACTCGATTTGTGTGCTTGTGGACCACGACTTTTCGCGTGCTTTAGAATACACTTTCTACTCCATATCAAGACTTCTTCCTCTACTTAGTGGGCTACTGGGAAGCTTGGATTAGAATAGTAGCCTATCTTGTCACTGGATCATTTGTCTTGGCTCTCGTTTACTGAGTAAGATGAACTCGTAATAGCATTCAAGCATATCAATTGATGACGAGCATAATAGTATCATTCAAAAGCAAATATACTAATTTTTTGTGCCTAGTAAATGTACGACTCTTTCAATTTTGGTGGTGATTCATTTTTTTCGCGCAGAGTTTTTTACACATTTGAAATCATCAATCAATCATTGTTAGACCACCATTAGAAACCTGGAAGCACTGAACGGCCGTCAAGTCCTGGTATGGGACTCATCAGCAGTGCGCATCCACGACTCCTGCACCTCGCAGGATTCGAACCCGAGACCTTCGGTATTGTGCGCGAACGCCTAACCGTCGGACCACTGGGCTCACTAGTGACTAGCTTCGTGAGGAAATTCTCGAAGTTCTAGTTGAGAAGACGTGACCAATGGAGTTCAACCCTGTTGGGTGTAGGCAGTAACTACCAAAGACAAATGGGTGAGGTCGCGCAAAATCCCTAGATCAATCAGAGTTAGACATTAACACCGTTGGATGCCGGCCCAATGGTCCGATGGTTAGGCGTTCGCGCACAATAGCGAAGGTGCCGGGTTCGAATCCTGCGAGGAGCAGGAGTCGTGAATGCGCACTGCCACTGATGAGTCCCATACCAGGACTTGACGGCCGTCCATTGCTTCCAGGTTTCTATTGGTGGTCTAACAATGATTAATTGATGATTTAAAAGGTGATTTATTTGCTACTTTGCTTTTTTTTTCCACTCAATAATTCAGATTCTTGGCTCGTTCAATCGTAATCTCGCTTATGACCATCATCATCATCATCAGCATCAATCTAATTTAACTAATACAAATGATCATGATAAAATGCTTGCACCATATTCTTCCTCTGGTTCATCGTCATCATCATCAGCAGTAGATCATCATAATGACCATATGATGGGGAATAATACCAATGACATGAATGATTCACAAACATATTCTTTACCATTTGCTGTATTAAAATCGTATATTGCTAAATCAGAAGAATTATGGTTTACAGTCTATCAACAAATGCATCATACTGATATTACATTGGATCCAGTTGTAATTGAATCATTACATATGATATTTAAGTATACTTTGCCAGCTTTAATGCTTCTTGGTAAGTAAATAGATTTTTTCTTAATCGTTTTCCATGTTTTTCTACTGTCTAAGCATGAAGTAGGTGACCGTCAGTGTTTTTTTTGCGAGACACGAAGCATTTATTTTATGCTAGTCGATACTCTTGAGGGAACGGACACTCCTTGAATGATTGATTTTCTATAGGATTGAGATACATTTAACTGACTGATCAATAAGCTGTAACTAATGTCATGTTTGTCTTTAGTGCTGGTTGAATCAATTAAATTACAATATGATCTGTAGAATCTGGCCAGTGCTCAAAGGATTAAGTAGATAAGATATTAACTACTATTCTGTTTATTTACACTCTTGTTAGTATGATGTTTCATTTTGTACTTAGTGTATTAATGATGATAATCAGGCAGTTTTCAGCTATCAGCGTATCTAAGTCCAACAGTCAATGAATTCATGGACCAACTGGTTCAGAGTCACAGTGTCCAAACATTAAAAGCCGTAACATGTAGTTTAGAACGGGGTTTCATAAGACCGGGAATAGCATTTCGTCAACTTGAGTCGTTTGCATCAGTGGTGCCGGGTGATAAAGGAATGTGAGAAGAGTTAGTCGTGGAGATAAGGAGGACGTTAAGGAGTGTAGGAAGGATTCGAATATGACCAATTTGGTCTCGTGTGCTGGTAAGGGTATGAGGGTGGATGTCATTTCCTGGCTGCCCACACTGTGGAAGTGTGTTTCTTGAGAGACCTGAAAAGGAAGGTAGAGATTAGTGTCAGTTTTAGAGGCCTGGGAGCGTGACCGCAGAGCTCGAGAAACAACTGCTTGAGGCCGGTCACGCACGGCCTTTTTATGAAGGGTTTTTTGAGTATTAGCTCCGCTCGTAAAAGCCCTTAGTGGACATCCTTATCACCGGAGACAGAAATCCGTGAGGTAGGGTGAGGTGTGACATTTTCAGGGTCGACCTTTTCTAACCCTTCCTTCCTTGTGAGAAGGCAGCATCGCTGCAGATGCTGGTTTTCCGAGGGAAACAACTTACTACTGTCACACCCCTCTACAGTCAGAAGTATGACTTCGCTATTAAACCTTAAGTGGCTGCTTTTAGTCTTACTGTTCTCCAATCGACCTACCTGGCATGGTAGGAACTAAAAGAACATATGTTCCAGCCAATATAGCTCGGTTGGGTGATCACAATAGGCAAGCACGACCACCACGTCAAGGTAGCAGCTACCGTCGGGTTCACATTAGCATTCTTCTAACCTAACACTATTACATTTCGGGATGTTTGAGCATGAATAGTGAAAATCCTAGCCATCTAATTTAATAAAGTTTCAGCCAGTTTGGAATCTTTATTTAATGCCCTATGTCTAACTTCA